TTTCTTTGCATTTATAAATTCAGTTAATTCTGCAAATTCCATTTTCCCCTTTTCTGACTTGAAATTTAACATTTCCTTGTTGCGTTACATTAACTCTTCTTCTGATTTATTACAAGACCTACTTTTCTTCTTGCTTCTATCAACTCTGTTGTATTGTTTTCGATTTCCTTCATATTCCTGATGATTTTTGTACAATATGTAATTTTCTCTAGCGTAGAATACAAGAGTCGATTCAGGGCCGCCTTAAACATACCCTGCGCCGGGGTATGAACATCAGCCCTGCGCTCCCCTGTCAAAAATTCAAACAACTTCATTTTTTACAGACCCTAGAGCCACACACTAGAATTTAACGTTACGGGTGGTCAACGTAGAAGCCGTTAACCGTTAGAATTCGCTTAAATATTCTATTTACACAAGTTAAAAATCAAAAGCATAATTATGATTGATTTATTTATTAGGTATACAAAACACATGGCTAGGAAGTTCAAACGACGACAGTCATAGATACAGTGTTATTACAATTACACAATTTACAGAGTTACATCTAGCTAATAAGGAACGAAAAATATAACAAAATATTTTAAACTTAACACAATGTCATAAATTATTCTATATTAAACATCAATGAATTCAGGGAAAAAAGTTCTATTCCAAAATGCATTAATTATATGGTGTAAAGGTGATCTCATAGCCTAGGCCGGCCAAACGTGCTTCTTTTCAATGGCACTGAGGCTTCCACCCGCAACATATCGGCGAAATTCCAGACCGTCACCTGAAGCAAGTATGATTAATGCAAATTTCTTCAAAACATATACTCGTAATGGGACTGTGACCATTGTGAAAATTACAACAAACTCATCATAGGTTTTTTGCTTAGATCATATAACACAGCTCTACAAAAAAAAAAAAAAATTATGTTGCCCTGGATATCTTTGTAAATTTTTATGTTTTCAAGTGTCTAAATTACGAATATATCCATAAAAGTATTGAATGTGCTTTTTTTTATGATTGTTAGTAATAAAATTTATTTTCCCAGTCATGATTATGTTTCTGCGCAACTTTTTCACGCATACAAATATCACGTGATCCCCACTCTCAGACTCCTTGCTCTGCAGAACAGCTGAGAACTCAGTTATTTGATAATATTGAAGTACTTTACACGTGAATCTGGATAAGTTGTTATTTATTAATATTTTGTTTCAATCGCTGAATGTCCATTCTAATAAATTTGTCTTATTTTTTAAAACATGAGTTCGTCACGGAGAAAGTGTAAATATAGTAGTGACTTATTTTGTTATATTTGTGGTATTTATATAACAAAAAAACAAATAAGGGAGCCGTTAGTGAGCAGAGACAAAATTATACTTCCACCATTACATATTAAGTTAGGAATGATAAAGCAATTTGTAAAAGCTTTGGACAAGGAAGGAGATTGTTTTAATTACATTTGTAGAAAATTTCCGAAGCTTAGTATGGAAAAGTTGAAAGGTGGAATATTTGATGGTTCTCAAATACGGCAAATGATGAAAGACACAGATTTTATTAAAGTTATGACTGTTCCGGAAAGTAAAGCTTGGGAAAGTTTTGTATTGGTAGTCGAAAATTTCCTAGGTAACCATAAAGTACTAAATTATGAAGAAATTGTACAAAATATGCTGACAAACTTTGAGACTCTAGGAGCAAATATGAGTATCAAATTACACTATCTCCGCAATCATTTGGATACATTTCCGGATAATTTAGGAAATTATAGTGAGGAACAGGGAGAGCGGTTCCATCAGGATCTAAAAGTAATGAAGGAAAGATATCAGGGTCGATGGGATTGTCATATGATGGCAGATTACTGCTGGTCTTTAAAAAGAGATTGTCCCCTGAAAAATTATAAGAGAAAAGCTCATAAAAGGCGTTTTATGGAAATATAACATGTTTTCGAAATTTTCTTCTTTATTTACTTTGATGTATCCTAATTTTTCAAAATATAATCGATATTATAAATATATCTGTTATTTTGTTTTTTGTTTTCCGATTTTTGTAATATAAAATGAAAATAAAGATTTAAAAAAAACGAGAGCAAACTTTACAAAATCATTGATACTTTCATGAATTATGAGCATACATAGATCCAAAATCAATCTTATATCTAGGGCAACAAAACCACTGTAGACCAGTGTAATAAATAGATACCACCATGCCGTGTTCTTTCCCTAGGACAGCCTGTGACGACATCCTCCTGCCACACATCTCTCTCGTGCATGGAGGGATTACAATGAAGCTATCCTTGCCTGATCACTATTTGAATTTTGCGCGCCTAAATTTTAGGAAGTTTGTCTGAACTAACTTCGGAAGAAAGATGTTGACAGCTTGATTGTATAAATAATTCACAGTAGATAACGAAAGAAATAGTAAATTATTGGGCAGCAATTGTGATCCTTTATGACTACATCACTTAAAATAGGATCTTTGTTCTAAATTCTAAAATTGTTTTTTGTACAACAACTCGAAAGAGAGGTTAGAAGAAACATCTGTCAAAGGCGATTTGTTGCGCTGGTGCGGTACAAGGATGGAAGTGAAATAGACATATACAGATGAAATGCATATAACAAAGATGAAGATGTGGTGATCACACAAGGATAGCATTATACTACTCCCCTTGACGTAGAAAACGACAACAGATAGCTTCATGTCTAGTCACAGCTTTCAGTTTGAGTATTGGTATCTATTTATTATATGATCTAAGGTTTTTTGTTAAAACCCTTTGGAAAGCCTTCAGGAAATAAATTTAGTGAAGCCACATTTGCCTTTTCTACTTCCAGAGGTGTTAAAGAATCTGTTTCTATACAATTGTCCATTTTGAATCTTGATTCAGGAAATTTTTGACATTTAGAAATATAACATTTCAGATAGGGAGGGGTATATGTGGTTGCCTAAAACCATGCATTAATAAACGATTATTATCGGAAAACGGTATTTACGGTGGTCGGTTTTCACTTCCAAAAAGACATTTCCGCTTTCACAGCCACAGCACGGGCGAGAACATTTCCAAGCTAAGTGAAGGCTCGAAAAAGAATTCCCGTTTTCCGGTCGCGTTGGCGGGGCGATCGCGGATTTACCCCCGGTTCTTAGTACTTGTTGCGGTTTCTGGTCCACGAAAATTGGCTTCGTTACAACTTGTAGAACCGTTTCACGCCAAATGGGCAAAGACGTCGGAAATAAAAAACTTCCCAGACATCCTCAATTATGGGAGATCCAAATCTCAAATTTTATGTATTTGCCTTGACGTTATTAACAAACGAACGCCCATAAGTTTAGACCAAGGTGTTGGTTTAAATGTTATTCCTTTAATAAGTATGGTTCCATTTGCCAAAATTTCACCCTTCTATTTATCTAAATTTTTAAATACACCAGGAAACCATCGAGTCCCAATATTAGGCATGGCTAATATACAAATATAATTAGAACAAATGCAAACTAAATGCAGGGTCATTGTTGTAAAAAAATTTGATTACCCTCTTATGTGCCGTTTTTGACGGAACATGAAGTAATTCTTTACCTGAAAAATGATGTAGATACATTTCAGCGGAATTCACTCACAACTCATATACACAATGCTAATTTTCAGTCAGAACAAATTAAGACAAGAAATAGCAATTCAAATACATATTGTCTTTGCCATTTCTATTGAAACACCACCTTTTGATTTTGCTTAAAATTTAGTAATTAGTAACAGCTTTCGGTTGATTAACAACGGCTTTTAGTTACAAAATTGTCTGAATATGAACGTTGCCAAATTTACAATTAACAAGTGGTGCTTCAATAGAGATGGCAAAGACTATATACATATTAAATATTTCATCATTACATGTTAAGAGCAAGATTAAAAGTCAAGCCTCAATTCCAGTGAAAAGTTTTCTGACCACACTACAAATACATTATTTTTCAATTTAAGAGGACCAGAGATTTTTGCAAAATACAGGAAATTAATTATTATTAACGATATACCTAATTGCCACATTGGAATTTATTGCACACTTAAATAGTGGTGGCCAAACTGTCACAGTCAGCACAAAATACAACAACAATATTCCGACTCCGCAGTGGTGTTTGACAACAAGCATTTTCTCGAAACAGTCAAAATTATCGAAAAGTGTCAAGACAAATCATCTCGTTTCTTATACTATTTGATTACAAAAAAATTATCTTGCCAAAAGTCTGCATATAAAACCTTTTGCTGGCACTCCAAAAAATAAAAAACCCGCGTTATGAAAAATGAAGATAAACATTAATTTGGTAATGCTAGGTATAAGCTGTGATGTTGATCGCCTAGATTGGCATAAAATTAAATATATGATCAAATTTCGGTTTCAAGGTATAAATATAGAAATTACAGTGTGCTGCCTTTCCCAAAAACGGCCTTGCATTCTTGAAAATGTTGTTTTATAATTTAGAGTTTTCATCCAAAAATCGTTGTTTCGGGTCAAAACTCAACACGGAGTCATATGCTATATGTGTAGGCCAATGAAATTTTATACAATTTAAAACCCATGTACTTTGTAGGTACAATTTTCAAGTGACGTCTTCACATTATTGGTGGGGATGATTAGACAAATTTTGGTTAGCGGTTTACCATCCACATCATATTCCCTATATAAATAAAAAAATTGACAACAATCGACCCAGTCCTTTTGGAGATTATCCGTCTAATAAAAATCCGGATGGCAGACAAACGGACAGACGGACAGAAGGACAGACGGACAGACAGACAGACGGACGGACAGACAGACGGAAACGGAGACCTATTTCTTCGTATTCTAGGGGTCATCAATGCTCGAGAAAACGTAACAATAGTCAGTTGACGGACTCGATTACAATACTTTCTTGGCTTACGCTCGAGAAGTAAAAATTCTAAATGAAAAATTCTTGTTTACACAAAATACTAGGCAGTTATCTCGAGTTTACAGAACCTGATAACCTATACATTTTTAAAACGCCTTTATCAACGTTAAGTAGTAAAACAGCAAATCTCGTCAATACATGACAGACAAACAAACTGCGACAATGGTAATTTCCATGGATAGATGGGTAGGCAAAGTAGCCATTGTAACCGGAGCTAGTGCTGGAATCGGTGCTGCCATCGCTGACCAACTTGTTGAAAACGGCCTAATTGTAAGTGATAAAATCAAAAACCACTGTTTTTAATTTAAACGCAGTTTTCACAGGCTGTCGGACTAGCACGTCGCCCAGAATTAATCCAAGAGCATGCCAAGACTCTCAACAACAAAAAAGGGAAACTCTACGCAATTAAAAGAGATTTAAGAAAAGAGGAAGATATTCAGGGTGCTTTCAAATGGGTTGAAGATAATTTAGGACCAGTACACATTCTTATCAACAACGCTGGAACGGGTACTGGAGGTGGACTGACAAATACCAGCACTGAAGACTGGAGGAAAGTTTTCGATCTGAATGTTTTGGGTTTGTGTATAGCTACAAGAGAAGCAATAAGTTCAATGAAGAAACACAAGATTGATGATGGTCATATTATTCACATCTATAGTGCGGCAGGTCATCGAGTTTTTTCTCCTCAGTTTAATGTCTATCCGGCTTCTAAATTTGCTGTTACTGCTTTGACTGAAACGTTGAGGCAGGAGTTGAACAGTCTTGGTACTAAAATCAGAGTTACGGTGAGTGGAAGTAGTGTTAAATAAATACATTATATTATAATAATTCATATAAAAACATGACTATAGACTGTATTTTGTTGTAGAGTATTAGTCCTGGACTGGTAGCCACAGAGTTAACCACATTAGGTACAAAGTTACCATCAGACGTTAGAGAAGAATTTCATAAACGACCTATTTTGAAAGCTGCAGATATCGCTGATGGCGTTGTCTACGTTCTGTCAACGCCAGGGCATGTTCAAGTGAGTTTAGAATCTGGAGGCTTAACTATTAATTAATATAAATTATTTTTATGCTAGGTTCATGAACTAACGATACGGCCGTTTTAAGAATAGAAAAATTCCAAAATAATGTTAAATATAGCAAACATCATTATAAACATTGACAATTGATAAGCTTACAGAATAAAACAAAAACCCGTAAAATTAATTACAATTTATTGGCATTCAACCAAATTCCACTTTCCGCAGTCAGTACTAAAGTACTTTTTTTCATCTTCAAAGGCTCTTGTGTTCTGTTATTAATAGTGAACTTAAAATTTCTTAACAAAGAAATTAATGCCAATTTTGACTGTATCTGTCCAAAACGCATACCTAAAACCTTACAGTATAAATCTCATTTAGCAACCATTTTTTTCATACCTATACAAATTCTAGCTCCTTCCCCAAACGGAATAAACGCATAACTCTCTCTTAAACCCTTATTTGTGTCATTAAAACGTTCAGGATCAAATTTCTCAGGCTCAGGATAAAATTCCTCATCGTGGTGAATACCAAGAACCGGAATCACAACTGTAGTACCTTTCTCAATCACCACATCAGTACCAAAAACTTTGTAGTCTTTTACACACTTCCGATTTAAATACGCTGCCGGCGGGTACTTTCTTAAAGTTTCTAAAATATCTTTTTACCTTCAACTCTTCGACATGACAAACTCACCATCTAACACTTGCTCTAGATATTTCATTTCTTGGATGGCCTCATACGTAATCACGTTTTGGTACTTCTTCAAAACTTTTCCGACCTCTTCTCTAACTCTCTCTTGTATATCTTCGTTCCTTGCAAGCTCGTATAGAGCAAAACTGATGGCAGTCGGTGACGTGGACATCCCTGCCAGAAAGAAGATAAAACACTGAGCCGCTATTTCTTCAATTTTCAAATAACTTTCATCTTCGTTTCTCAGCTCGGTGAGTACTTGAAGAAAGTCGTGTCTTACAATGTGTTGCTTTTTCCTATAATCGATTGCCTCTTCAACTATCTTCAGAAAGAACGTAGATGCGTCTTTTGGTATCAAAGCAATGTTTAAAATTCTTCCAAGTTTTGGAAAATTGTCAACTATGAAACCCTTCACTCTTCTGGTACGTGATCGTCTGAAAATTTTTCTCCCGAATTGTTGTATGGGTGATTGCTCGGAAAAATTTTGCCAGTCTAGACCAAAAACGCAGGACTCGATAACGTCACCAATGAAACTATCCGCAATTGTTTTAGCTTCAAAGGGTATTTTTCTGTTTATTTCAGTTTCAATCTTTTTGATCAGAATTTCTTTACAGCTTAGAAGAAGCGGAAATATTGATTTTAGTTTGCCGGGAGTGAAGATCTGACTGAGGTTTGTTCTCATACGACGCCATTTTGGGCCACTGGTGTTGAAAATGTGGCAACTCAGAGGATCGTCTTTTTCGTTGTAGTACAGTCCACGGTGTGGAAAGTATTGGAAATCTTTTGTCATGATGTTTTTGAGTAGATGTAGATCCCTGACAACGTAAATTGGTGTCACTTGGATAAAAACTCCTCCATGTTTCCATTGGTTTTGTTTCATTAGATTATAGACATGTTTGAATTTGATGCCAAGGTGTTCGTTCAAACTAGAAAAATGTGTTTGCAGGCAGGGTACATTTCTTCGTTTCCAATGTAGATAAAACCAGTTGTATACACTGAAAATTATAACTGATAGAGTTATAACTATGATGATGAAATCACCGGTAGGTGAGTCCGCAAAAAACATTTTTAGCACACAGGAACCTTCTGGAGAATTTAATATGTGGTATGTTTGAAACTGTACTTTTATCTGAATTATCGTAATTAATTTAACTCCTTTAATGCCTGTCCTAAATCGCGCTTGAATAATATGGTGTTTCACATTGTCAAAACAATATTTTATAAAAAAATATATATATAACTAATGTGTCAGTGACTAGTTTCAACTCACCGAAACCTGATTAAACTTCTCAGTCCTTTTCCTCTACATCGTTTTTTTTTTTTTTTGATGTTCCACCAAGTAAGTTTTATCGCTTAGGTATATAATTTATTCTACTTTACATTCAGAATTACAAGTCATCAAACGTATGATTCATTCAAGGGAACCTTTTAGTACTTTTACATTATTTTTACTTGTAAAAAACACGATAAAGATAAAAAGTATGTTCATTAGTAGCCAACAGTGTTAATAACTTTTAATCGCCAGAACGACGCAAATAGGTATATAAAACCGCCAGACAAACTCAAAGTCACAGTTGCTTAGCAATAATTTACAACCATGGTACTATCAATAGCAAAATGGGTGGGCAAAGTGGCCGTAGTAACAGGTGCTAGTTCTGGAATTGGTGCCGCTATAGTAGACCGACTAATCGAAAAAGGGGTAATTGTAAGTACTTTTAATGTTTGTTTTTAAAATTACATCAAAAGAAAAATGCTCATTAGGTTGTAGGAATTGCTCGCCGAGTTGAACTAATCGAAAAACGCGCCAAAAGCTGCACGGTTAAAGAAAAACTGTACGCTGTCAAAGCAGATATCACGAAAGAAGATCAAATTCTGAAAGCTTTAAAATGGGTTGAGGACAATGTCGGCCCCATTCACGTTCTTATCAACAGTGCTGGAGTTATTTTGCTAAAAGGACTTACCGAAACCTCCACTGAAGATATGAAAACAATTCTAGAATTAAACGTCTTAGGTCTATCTATAATAACAAGAGAAGTAGTGAAGATGATGCAGGCTCACAAAATCAGTGGACATATTATACACATTAACAGTACTTTTGGACATCAAGTGATGTCGCATGCTTTTAGCATATATCCGGCATCGAAATTTGCTGTAACGGCTCTTACCGAGACGTTAAGGCAAGAACTTAATTCTTTAGGGCTGAAAATAAAAGTTACGGTGAGTGTTTTGGGTTGGAAGGGTTTGGATTTTGACGCATTTTTGTAGAGTGTGAGTCCGGGTTTGGTTGCTACTGAGATGACTACTTTAAATAAGGATATCTTACCGGAAGCTAAAGAAATGTTCGACAAAATAGCGATTTTACAACCTGCGGATGTAGTAGATGCGGTGGTTTATGCTTTATCGACCCCCGAACATGTACAGGTAAGTGCTTTTAAGGTTTCCAATAGCAGTTTGTTTAATCATACTTATTATACTTTATAGGTGCATGAACTTACATTAACTGGATTATAAAAAGTTTTAATGTGTAACTATTATAGATAGAAAGATAAATAAACTTTATAAATCTTTGTGACATTATTTATTTTCCATATTTTCTAAACTATATAGTTGTTAGTCCTTGCAGTCCAATTCTATACTATACAGATTCATCATTTTAATCACTAGTAGATTCAAAAGTTACAAGATTTGACAAGGCTTCGTAAAAACTAGACGGGCACCAGACTAGAATTCAAAATTTTGGCTTCTTGCCTAGACAGACCTCTCAAGATTTATTTACAACGTACTTTAAAATATGGAATTTGGACATAGGGAATAACATGAGGAATTATTATCTTATAAGTTATAAGTTATTCAACTCAAACTGAATTATTTTAAGAAACTCGAAATGAAGCCCTTCGACCAGCTCATCTTTCTCAACACCTCCATCGGCAGCATCATGACATGCTTTGGGGGACCGTCAAGCTAAGGATTTACTCGCGGTACCTCACTCAGTAATCACTGAACAACTCAAACTGCATTATTTTGTCCAACGTGATGTTTATTATAGGACAATTTAGACGCAATACATGCACAAAATGCACAAAATATTGTCACAAAATAAATCCATACATCGCCCCAGTACGACGCCTATGTGTTGCTTCTAGTATGTAGTATATGACTCATCGATCGGGCGACGCGGCGTTCACTAAAGGAAAGCCTACAAGCGCATGTCGCGACGGGTCCAGAAAACCCTCGAAGCGGCGTTCGCTAAAAAAGGCCTCGAAGCGGAAGTGCATGCTTAAATATAGTCTGGTCTTTTACATGCAAGATCGAGAGCTCGCATAAATGTTGCTTATTTCAATCAGCATTTTCCGCAACGCTGGATTGGAAAGTTCGGACCGACCTATTTGCCTGGACGTTCTCCGGATTTAAATCCCGATGATTTTTTCTTTGGGAATCTCTTCCCGACCGTGTGTATTCAAACAATACTACCTGATGCAAACTGAGACGCAGGCCAACAATATGACCTTCAGATTTCACCTCAAATACTGATCAACACGCTTAGGATCTTTGAAGATCGATTTACTTACTTACTGTACAGCAGCTAAGAGTGGCCTTTTTGAGCAAGTCTTGTAAATAGTGCAATACTTCTCTAGATTTGTACAATATTTCGTTACTTCACACGTTACCTATTGTTGTTAAATATTATTGTTTGTCGTTATCTAAATGGTTCGTTAAAATGTTCGCTTCAAAACCGCCAACTGTTGCTTTAATGGTAAACCTTATCATCACATGATAAAAACAAGCAGTTCCTCGCTTTTTATTCTAATCGCAGTAGACTAGCATTTTAATGACATTTTAATAATAAAAATGAACTAAAATTCACTGGCAGTGACAACATAACCACATAAAATATTTTGGGCAATTTGTGCATTTATTGCATTTAAGTTACCCTACAATAATCTGAGTGAGGTAGCCCGAGTAAAAGCCCAGCTTGACGGCCCTCCAGGATGTGTCAGGTTGCTGCCGATGGAGGTGTTGAAAAAGAATAGCTGCTCGAAGGGCTTCATCTCGGTCTTCTTTGATACGGCCTAGGTGTAGTCGGAGGTGGTTCGTTTGACGGGATCGCGCACTACGACCAGGAGTTTCGTGGGAGGATGCATGTGCTGCACCCTGCACCAATAAATGAATCAATTTATGCATTTATTCCGTTTTATTTCTCATACAACAATCATTAGACTGGATAAAATAATTCAGTTTGAGTTGTTCATTGATTTCTAAGTGAGAATAGAGGAATAATTAATAAATTATCTTTGACTTTTCGATTTTCCATTTCCATAACTAATACAAGGACGCTATCGATAAATCGAACCAAGCGCTCATTTCAAAATGCGATTTTTAAAGCCTTTTTATAGTGAATGGATGCAATGCAACGATTTGAAAAAAATACTGGATGATAGCCCTCTTTTACCTCCACAAACGCATGGGTCAACAATAACTTTAAAGTGATCTGGTGAAATATTATAAAATAAAAACCAATTCCCCATGTTAATTCCCTATGTCTGCAAACATTTAGAAAAACAGTTGATGTCTGTCTTTTTGTGAAAGTTATGACTTGGAAATTTGAGATGAGGATCATATGAAAAGAAGTAGTTTTTTGAACGATTTGGTTTTTAAATCTGGAGGGGTTTTCGAATGAGAAAAGGGGGGAAGGTAATGGTTGTGATATATTAGGTTCTGAAGCTTCGTCACCAACCTACCATGTGTCTCAGATGAATGTAATGTAACACTGTATCGCTTATACATACATATATCGATAATATACGAACTTTAGTTTTATATTAATATCGTTGAGCGTCGGGTAATAAAATCTCATTTTTTTTGAGCCATGTGGTGTGTTCAATGGCTATTGCTTTTTGAGTAGATCCTAATCTGGATCTGGTCCTGAAAGAAACGAATGTGGGACTTAGGTTGTAACGAAGAAAAATCTAAATGAACCAAACCTTCATTCAATAGGTTTTTCTAACCAGGTTTTTGTTAGTTGGGACATGTTTGTCATAGTCAATAGTCGAATGTTATTTAGCTACACTAGGATGTGCGGTCAGGTAAGACTAGAAAGCGATTCTGTATTGTAAACTTTCACCATTATCATTCGTTCTAGTTAATTTAATGTTCGACTGAAGATGAAACCAGTGAATCCTCGAAATATGTTCCAACAATCTTGGGATTAAAATGTGGAATAGATTTTAATTCGTTTTAGTATAAGCAACTTTCACTCATTCAACATTGTTGCAATTGACCGACGAACTTCAACTCGTCCATTTTGTTATTGTTGATTTAAAAAAAGTCCGGCACATGTTCAGTTGAGAACAAATCGACATTCCTGTTGGCGAAATCAATTAGATACTGAAATTGCAAAGCAAACAAATCTTCGTTAGGAGACAATGTATCAAAAATTTTAAACAAAAAATGTTCATTATGTTAAATTATGCATTAGGGAATTTAAGTGAATGTTTAAATCAAATGAGTACGAACTTGTTATTAAATGATTTTGTACTTCAATGCTCTTAATTTTCAAATAGTGTTTTGCAGTGAAATTTAAGTTTCAAAATCAGGACATCACAATACTTTAAATACTTTTAAACACTTATTTGTAACGTTTCCCAGAAGTAAATATTCTTAACTCTAAATGTCAATAGGATTTTAGAACACATTTATCAAGAACAAGTACACTAGGGGTCGATTCTTGCAATCTCTCATCTGGAAACGAGTCGGCATCGAGCACACACTGTTGATAAATAATACAGGAGTTATAAATGGTTTACTATCTGTCCTGAAAAGTGACTTTAAAAACAAATGCTGATGAGTCATATATTATTATTAACTATAATGAGAGTAATTTATATTACTATACAGGTCGCTAGAATATATGGAAATGGTTAAATTACTTGAGAACCAATTGTACAAATCAAGGAAAATTAGGTAGGTACAAGGCTACCAAATTTGTTCTCTAATTATTCATCAAAAAAAAAATTTTACTTCATTTGGTTTTGAGTTTCAATTGATTTTTTTTAATGGCACTGCCATATATATAATTAATGCATTTTTCTAGTCCTGTTGAATAATGTATGAATTATTAAACAGTTTTTAGTTGGCAAAGAAATTTATTCCTCACGGGTAACGACACTAGTGGGTAATCATTTTGAAAGCTTTCTACTGGTTCTTGCGAGTGAATAATTATTTATTATCTACGTGGAGTGTAGCCAAATCATTACTTTCGAAGCCTCAAACAACGCAATTAATTAATTGCACGACCACTGGATGAAACAAACCGCCGCTATTGCGATCCAATAATAAGTAAGGCAACGGGAGCGTTGCGAAGTCGGACTTTAGAAATTGTTGATGAATTACACACTCGCCATTCGGCTTGTGTGTAAACTCATCTTCGTGAGTAATCTCCCTTATTACCCGCTTATTGAATAATATATTATACTATTTTGAATAGAGTTTTTTTTTATGAATCCATTGGTATATCGTACTTGTTTACTGTATCAAACCTGGCAGGCTAGTCAATAGTACTCCTTCAGCCTGTCATTTAAGTAGTGTAGCACTTGACGTCCAAAATGGGGTGGAGCACCGTCTATTTGAAATCAAATAATTTGTGCTGGGAACTCCAGTTTTTGGTATTCGAAGCAAAAAAAAAAAAAAAAATTGTTGACGAATAATTAGAGCACTACTAGAACACCTATACCTAATTTCAGTTGATTTGCACAATTGATTCTCAAGATATATAAAATTATACTTTATGAATTTTATTTTATTGTTTTAATGGTAAGCTCTATAAGCTAAAATAAAGAATCATATTTTTACGAAATACACTCTTACGCAGCCTCGGTACGACGCCTATGGCCGTCGAGAGCTTTCTGGTCGTGATGACCCATCGAACGCGAACGCGGCGTTCTCATAAAGACAAGTCTGGAGCCGGCTACCGGAAGTCTCTATTGCGGGGTCTAGAAAAAACATAGAGGCCACCGTCGGGAACGATTATTAAGCCGAATTCAACTAGTGGAGTCAAGAGCGTCCAGTGAAACCAGCCGGACTTATTTTGTGCATAATCGTGTAATAGTTAGTCGTGTAAATTCAAGTTAGAAATAAATTGTTGATTTTTTACATGGCCGATTCAAGTACAAATATAGAAGCGGGGTATGCCTATATTGCAAACAAGTTCTTAAAATAAGTTTTGATGATGTCATTAACTTTATAGTAAAGACAGGAAGACAGGTATATCAATTTAAAATAGTGCCTTCAAAATTTACAAACCATCCATAACAAAATTTAGTCCCTTAAAACATATATGGTGTTCAAAATTTATTATAGCAGGCGTACCTTAACTAAAACTGAAATAAAAATCCTGCGTTCAGAATGTTGTCCATCCACTCTGCTACCTAATATTAAATTCAAATAATTATTATGAAATCTATATAGCGAAGATAACAGTAACTTGCCTCACAACAGGTGTACAATGTTTCAGCGTGTTAGTCGCAATTTAATAAACGAAAATACAGATTTTTATAAATCGAAAGGAAAAA